TAAATGCCAACATTACCATGAAACCTTTCTTCATCCCATCACTGATTTTAATATCCCCCTTCCTGAACCCTTCATGGTACTTTGTTGTTTCCTTTTTTGTGGCACTTACCTTGTATTAGTGTATGTTATAATTTTGTGTTACCTTTGCTTGCCACCTTTATATTGCAACTCTGAATTCCACTCAGTAGTGCTTTACTCATAGTGGTTGCTTAATAAGTGTGTTGTCAAAAGAAATAAAAGGAAACTTTTTTTAAGAATTCATAAATTTTGTTTAAATGTTGTAAAAAAGTGATTAACCAAATGAGATGTTGGTGAACTGCAAGGTGCAGGTTGTTTAAAATTGAGAGAGGTAGGAGACATACTAGAGTAGAAATAAGTCATCAAGGTGATGAAGAAAAATGTTTCGATAAATTAAGAGTACATTTTGCTTAATAGTTCTTTAAAAAGCAGAGCAACAAAAAAGTAAACTCAACTAAAGGCTGGCAAGTGGTGTGTGTTATTAGAAAATTTTCTGCTTGAAGATAGCTTTTTTGTATGGTCTTCTGAAATTAGGCTGAAATTCTCAATGTAGCAGGCAACAAAAATTCAGTTGATTAACCGTCTTATTCCATGTACAGCCTTGCTTATTCTTGCATGTAACGTAAGATATTTATATTTTCTGGGGATGAGGACATGGATGTGTTTGGGAGGCCTTTATTCTGCCTACTGTACCACGTAAGTTGGGTAATAGGCAGTTGGAAGTTCGTTATTAAAGTGCAGGAGGAACATAAATTTGTTTCATAGACTTTATTAAGCTCATACTCTGTGCCAGTACCTTGCCACATCCTGGGGCTATAAAGATGCAGTTCCTGTCTATTAGCTCTTGGTTAAAAAAGTTATGCATATGTAAATAATCTTAACATACCAAGGACCACGGTGAAGGTTGTCACGAATCACAATGCATATGTTTTAATAACAATTTGCTTTGAGAACATGGTGGGAAAGGACTCTTCAGGTCTACTCTAAGGTACCAGGAAGAGACCTTGGTACCTTGAGGGACTGCAAATAGTGCCATATGCCTGAAAAAGGGGGGTAGGGTTTATGTGAGGGAGGGATAATTATGAAGGATTTTGTATGCAGCATTACAGAGTTTGAGACTTTATCTTATATGCAATATGGGAACCACTGGAGGCTTTTCATTTTAGAAAGAACAGCTTTTGTTTTTTTGGTTTTGGTTTTTTCTTTTTTGTAACATGGAGAATGGATTGGAGAGAGCAAGGCTGAACACATGGGTATCAATTAGGATACCAACTAATATAGGTAAGAGACAAGGGCCTACACTAGATAGCTTATTGCAAAGAAGTTGAAAAGGGAAGAGATTTAAGAGATAATTCAGATTTAAGAATAGATTGATAGGACTTGATGGCTATTAGATTTGGAAAGTGTGGAGTCGAAGGAGGAGTAAAGATTTTTAGCTTGAGCAACTGGTTAGATGTTAGTGTTATAAGCAAGATAAGGAACGTAAGAATCAGAGTAGTAGGTTTGTGTTGAAGATAATGACTTTGCTTTTGGATCTGTTGAGTGAGAGTTAAATCCAGGTGATATGGTTTATAGGTAGTTAATTATTTCAAATGGAGCTTAGAAAAAAGTTGAGGTTATAGATACAGATTAGGAGTCATTGGGAAGCATAGGTGATATTTATTGAAACCATGGGATCGAGTGAAATTGTCCAGGGAGAGAAAATAGAGTAAGAGGACCTATAAGAACAGCTGTCCCCAACCTTTTTGGCACCAGGGACAGGTTTCGTGGAAGACAATTTTTCCACAGACCGGGGTAGGATAGGGGGTCGGGGTATGGTTCAGGCGGTAACGCAAGCGATGGGGAGCGGCAGATGAAGCTTCACTCGCTCGCCCGCCACTCACCTCCTGCTGTGCGGCCCGGTTCCTAACAGGCCGTGGACCGATACTGGTCTGCGACCCTGTGGTTGGGGACCCCTGTATAAGGACATTAACATTTAAGTGTAGATGGAGAAAGAGGAGCCCAGAAAAAAGAAGAAATGATCAAAGTTAAAAGCAGAACTAAACTGGCATCTAGAAAGCTGAAGTGTAAGTAGGGATGATATCCATTGTCATATTCTGCAAAGGGTCAAGTAAGTAGAAGACAGATGAGGCCCTTGTTCTTTGTAACAACCATGGAGGTAAGTATTCTCATTATGTGAGGAAGCTGAACTGAGAGATGTCAACTTGGAAAAGGCTGCATGCACATCTAATAAACAGGGTGGAGCTAAAATTTAAATCAAGACAGTTTGATTTCAGAATCTATGCTTTTAACAACTATCTTATTTTATTATTTTAAACTTTTTTTCTTCCTTTTGTTTATGATAAAATAGTAGTTTTTGATCTCATTTTGAGTCCGCTTCATTTTGAATTTAAAATTATAGACATGTCCTCATACTTGGTATGATTTTTATTGAATAGTTGATTGATCATTGATAAGGATGTTAAAACATCCTCTGGCCAAGAGGTGGCTTTATGGGACAGTCCTTATACTTAACCAGACTGACATAGAATGCTTGCTAAATCTTTTTGGGGGATGGTATTTTACATTTAAATGTGGGAAATGTTCAATATAACCGATATGACTACTTTGTTGAGTACTAGAAACTTTTTAAGAGAATTATAATACAAAGCATTTGTAAGTGCCATGTAGCTAAAAGTAGATAAATCTTACATATTTTAAATTGAGACTACCAGAATATTCCATAACACTTTACCAAATATAGATTTGGTATTGTATTGCTAGCTATTTTCAACCATTGTCATGGTAACTCTTTGTTACCTGCTTTTCCTTTGTAAACATTGAAACTATTTCTCCCTTTCCTGACTCTTCTGTATCAGTTTTCCCTTTCATCTGCCTAATTTTAGATTTAGAAATTATTAAGCCACATCTCTTTTATGGAATGCTAGATATGGTGTTCTTTGTTGAATAGTTAGTTATAGACCTTACCTTTCAGTAGCATATGAGTGATGTTAAAAAAAAGAGTGCCTTAGTTAATTTTCACTGGGTAAATGCACACTCAGAGGATGCAGTCTCAAGTCTTTGTTCAAGAAGTGAAAGGATAATAGTAACTTTTAAGATAGTCTAATAAATGTTAAGCATTTATTTATCTGGAGGAAAAATGTAATTTTTGAGTTATGTTTTACCTACCTAAAAATCTGCTAAAGAAATGATTTACAATATTTGATGCCTTGTTTTTTTAAATTAATTCCAGTGACCAGATCTTTATATGATTTCATTGATCTCAGTACCTTTTGCAGCATTTAATGGCTTTTCTTATGTGTAACCATCTTTTAAGGTGTTCCTTGTGAATAAAAGATAATTAAGTGAGCAGCTAATTTGCAGGAGTTATTAAGATACACTTAGTCTAGGTAAAATCTGAAGTCTTCTATAAACTGTAAGGAAAATAGCCAAATATAAGGGCAGTTCCATTTATATAATGATGACATGCTTGTAATTTATTATTGCAGTGGCTAGGTTAGAGATTAAATTAAGAACCAATGGAAAATTAGTTGGTCCCACTAATTACAGATAAATGGTGATTTGAAATACTTAGCTGTATGAAAACACTGTCATCTGAAATATGTATTCAATAAATGTGAACTATCAACTTACAGATATTATCTTATTTAATTCTCATAACAATTCTGAGTTAGGATATTATTATCCTAATTTTACAGATAAAGAGACAGAGACTTAGTGAAGTTAGCCCATCTGTGGTCTTGTAGCTGCAGCCAGGATTCTAACCAAACCTTTTGGACCGCAGGGCCCAGGTTCTTAACTAGTAGACTAGATTATAGTAAACTGAAATCTGATGCTCAAGCTGTACTTTTGATTGCGATGAACTTTTCATGAAAATCTTTAACTGTCAAATAGAGTCCAAACCTAAACTATTTTGCTTCTGGAAGTATGCATTTTTTACCAGTCATGCCAATTAAAATTTAACTTCTTTAATTTTCGCCTACAGTTTCAGGATTTGTGATAATTTAAGGTGATATGTAGAATTAAAAAGGTAGAAGTGCATCTTTATTTGAGCTCTTACCATCGACATTCAAGTAAGATATTGGTGGGTATGGGGAATGACAGAATTGAATATTATGTTATCGAGTAGGCAGGGGATCATGAAACTTTCTGTAAAGCACCGGATAGTAAATATAGTAAATGGCTTTGAGAGCCATATGGTCTCTGTTGTAACTACGCAACTCTTCTACAGTAGCCATAGACAGTATGTAAACAACAGCGTTACTGTGTTTCAAAAAGAGGCAGCAGCCTGGATTTGGCACATTTGTCCACTTCTTGTAATTTTTGCAAGAAAAAGATAAGATTTGTTTATGATAATATATTGTTTATGCAGAGTGGAAGTTTTCCTTTGTAAACTGTATTGGCAAAAAAAGTTTACCCAAAAAGATAGCAATAGTATAAAGGAGAATTGGAAGCTAATGGTACCTAATAGTAAAGAATATTTTTTCAGCATTTCAATGACTACTTTAATTACCTCATAAATACTTGATAATTACAGAATATACTTATTTAGTCATTTCTTAGCATTACCATTTTTTTATCTTGAAAAAACAATTTTACAGTTTTCACTGGCGTTTTCACTAATTCTGATAAACTTTCTTTATCATAACTTGGGAAGGATTATTGTAAAAAGATATGATGCATAACTGGGTGACGATTTTATTTTATTTGAATTTATTTTGAAAAATAATATCAGCAGGTAGACTTAGATCAAGGCTTGTTGTGTAAATATATACGTGTAGTTGAATTGTAGGTTCAGAAGTGGAGTACTCTACAGCCAGCTTTCAGTGTCACATTTTATAGATTTCTTATTACAAGTAGTTTTGACCCTACGGATGCCTTCTAGTGCCACAAAACATTATTAAATGTAAGTCATTTGATATTGACTAATGGTGGTATGTTGGATGTTGAACCTAATACATACTTTTCATTCTTATTCTCAGAGATTCGTCAGCGACCTGCAGCTCAAAGAAACCTTTCTCCAGCACCAGCAGGCTCTAGCCAGGGCTCTCCCCGCAAAGTTCCAGTATCTCCTGGACCACCAAAGGACACTTCGGCCCCTGGTGGACCCCCAGAAAGAACTGTTATTCCAGCCCTATCGTCAAATGTGTTACCAAGACGTTTTGGATCCCCTGCTACTTCAGTGCCTGGAATGGGTAAACAGAGCACTTAATGTTATTTACAGTTTATATTGTTTTCTCTGGTTACCAATAAAATGGACCATTTTCAGACCGTATGGAAATGGCATTTCATTTGGAAATAGCAGAGCAGTTATCTGATTAAGCAGGAGTTCCATATTCAATTAGCCATAACTCTTTACAGCTGGCACCTTGTGATACTGAAACCTATTTCTTGAGCTCATTTAACTGTTATGGCTTCTTTGTTTAAATGGCAATAAAACTTTGTAGTATTCTGTAGTCAACAGTATAGCATATCTTTTTATATTCAGCTTTAGAATGGTCCCAGATTTATATAAAATGACGATAGAAGAGAACATTTTTGGAATATATTCGTGCTTTTTGCTAGCCCCTTCATATATATTTTTAAATATGACAATTACTTAACATATTTCAGGAAGAATATTCATGTGTTGTGGTGTATAATACTACTAATGTTAATGTGGGCTTGGTAGATTTTTCTTTTTTTAAGCCATAGAACCTTAGTATCTTCTGACAGATACTTTAACATAAAGTTCTATTGAATTAATAACAATAATTCAATAGAATTACTACTATTACCCTTTACTACTATTTCATTTCTTTGGATTCTCTTTTTTCAGTGCTGTAGATCTCTAGGGGAAGACCCCATTTTTGGAGTGTAATAGATTATATTACCCTGCAGCTTTCTTTTGGAGTGTGATTGGGACATGGAAGTCCACTATATCAGCAGATCACATTAGTTTATGTAGATTTCCATGTCTGATTATTGAATATGATAGTAAATTATTTATCTTATTTTAGAATATTTAATTTTAATTTAGATTACTTTCATATTTCGTGACTAATTACATATAATTTATAATGATTTTGAGGCTAGTTAGTAGTTGATATCAGGTATTCAGGGCACTTATGTAATAAAATCAATAAACAATCTAAATGTTACTAATGCAGTAGACTTTTTTTCCTGCTTTTTCTTCAAAAAAAGCAGCATAAGATTTTAGAAAACTAGAAAACTATTAATTTATAAATACATTAAGAAAGCTAGCTACAAATGAAATGAATACAAAACATAACTTTTAATTATTGGTTATTGAAAAAATACTTTTAAACTTGACATATAATGATGTCACTAAAGGCAGCCATATATTTTGTGAAGTTGAGTAAATTAAAGTGATTGAAAATTATTCATCTTTCAGTTGTTATTTAGTTGATCCAAGATACCCATATTTGTAAAGTAAAGCTCCTAGTTGTTTAATGAAAGAACATTTTTTGTGAGAATGCATGAGTTATATACATTTGTATAACTAGTTTTAAAGAAATTAAAGTTTAGCAATTTATATAAAATAATAAAAATTATATACTAGCACATGTAAGAACAGGATTATAGCAGGAGCAATGGCCTACCATTTCATGATCATGTAAATATAACATATTTTACTGAAGTTTTTAATTAGTTTCTGTGTAAAAGACTTTGTATTTAAGTTGTACATTGCCAAAAGTATGAATGAGTTAAGTGATTTCTTACAGAGAAGATTAATAATTCATATTTTCATTATGCCATATTTGTGGAAGAGAATCAATTTAATGTGTATTACCACAGGGCTCCCATATGTTTGGAAATTAATAACCAGCAGGTACTTGATAATTTGCCAAGCTGTGTAAAAATGACCAGTATTCCTACAATGATTGCTCTTGATGTTTTTATTAATTACTGTTACCCGTAACAGCATGAATACAAAGATGTGTTATTTTAAAAGTTATTAGTATGCAAGGGAGTTAAGATAGTTTTATGAAATCTGTTGTTTTGTTTATCCACATTCCTTTCTGGACATTTTCATTTTAAACATGTAGAGGTAAAATACTCCAGCAAAAGTTAAGTTGGCTTAAATGCTTTCAAAATCTAATTTGGCATGTTTATTCAAGTTGAAAATTTGGTAATGAGGGATGACACTTAATGTCTACATTCAAGTTAATGTTTTGATGATAATGATTGAATGTTGTTAGTACGACTATACCAATAACTGATGAAATCTGAAAAATGTACTTGATTTGTAATACTAAAAACTTATTCTAGAACCTAAATTTCATTTACTAGCTATAATTCTACATCATTTGCCTTTTTAAAGATGGTAACAACCTTTAGATTTGTGATTATTTACAAAGCAAATCTCTTTCTTATCTTTTAACATATTAATATCATATTACTGCCCTAAAGCCATTTTTTAATGCTTTAAAGTATTTGTCACAGCCATTTTGAAAACCTTTTATGCATGTATTGCAGGGTTTATTCCAACAAGACCGCATTTTGTTTCAAAGTCTTCTACGAGGTCTCCACGTAACCTCCATTGCTGCCTATCTTACTCTTATCTGGCCTTGTTTTACAAAGGCAAACATCACATCTTATTTATTTTATTCTCTCACTTTCTTCTCAGTGCCTTCTGTGTAGTCTCTCAGTTCAGAGTATCTCCTGCACACAGTTCTGTTTCAGTTTTCAGAGACTGTGGAGTTAACAATTCATAAAGTTTGAATGTGCAATCTTTGTTTTTGTTGCTACTGTTTTTATATGATGTAATCATTAACTAAATTCTGGGTTATTCCTCCACTCCCCATTCTCCATTCATCTCCTCTGATACTGGCTAATTTATTACACGAACACAATGTATCTCTCTATTTATTTAGATCTTCTCTAGTTTCTCTCAACATTAGTGTTTTGCAGTGTTCAGTATATAGGTTTTGCACCTTTTGGGGTTAAACGTACATCTAATTTTTTCATGTTTTTATCATATTTTAAATGATATTTTATTAACTATTTCCATTGTTCATTGCTAACATATATAGAAATAGAGTTGATTTTTGTATATTGATCTTGTATCTTGTAATATTGCTAAACTCACTCGTTAGTTCTGATAGCTTTTTTTTCTTATAGGTTCCATAGCATTTTCTACATAGGCTGTCAGATTGTAAGTAAGGACAATTTTACTTCTTCTTTTAAAATCTGGATTCCTTTCATTTCTTTTTCTTGCCTTATTATACTAGCTAGAACCTTTAGTGCAGTGTTAAATAGAAGTGGTGAGAGCAGACATCCTTGCCTTATTGCTGATCTTAGGAGGAGAGCATTTACTTTTTCTTCATTCAGCCTGATGTAAGCTATAGGGTTTTTTTTTTTTTTTTTTTTTTTTTTGCGGTACGCGGGCCTCTCACTGTTGTGGCCTCTTCCGTTGCGGAGCACAGGTTCCGGACACACAGGCTCAGCAGCCATGGCTCACGGGCCCAGCCACTCCGCAGCACGTGGGATCCTCCCGGACCGGGGCACAAACCCGCGTCCCCTGCATAGGCAGGCGGACTCTCAACCACTGCGCCACCAGGGAAGCCCTGTTTTTTTCTTAATAGATACCCTTTGTCAGATTGAGGAAGTACCCTTCCAATCCTAGTTACAAAGGTTTTTATCAGTAAAAGATGATGGATTTTGTCAAATGCTTTTTCTGCATCTATTGAGATGCTCATGTAGGGTTTTAGTTTGTTTTTTTGTTTTAACATCACTGTTTTAACATTCACTATTTCATATGGTGAAATACACTGATTGATTTTTTAAAAATAAATTTATTTATTTATTTTTGGCTGCGTTGGGTCTTTGTTGCTGTGTGTGGACTTTCTCTAGTTGCGGCAAGCGAGGGCTACTCTTCGTTGCAGTGTATGGGCTTCTCATTGTGGTGGTTTCTCTTGCTGCGGAGCACAGGCTCTAGGTTGTTTTTTGTTTGTTTGTTTGTTTTGTTTTTTGCGGTATGCGGGCCTCTCACTGCCGTGGCCTCTCCCGTCGCGGAGCACAGGCTCCGGACGTGCAGGCTCAGCGGCCATGGCCCACGGGCCCAGGCGCTCCACGGCACGCGGGATCCTCCCGGACCGGGGCACGAACCCGTGCCCCCTGCATCGGCAAGCGGACTCCCAACCACTGCGCCACCAGGGAAGCCCCCTGATTGGTTTTTTTAACATTGATTTTTAGATGTTAAACCACTAGCTTTCCTGAGGTAAATTTCACTTGGTCATGATGTTTTATTATTTTATATATATTGTTGGGTTCAATTTGCTAAAATTTTGTTAGAAATATTTACATCAATTTTCCTTAGGGATATTGGTCTGTAGTTTTGTTTTTGTTTTTTCTTGTAATTTTTTTTTCTGGTTTTGGTATCATAGTAATGCTGGCCTCCCTATGAGAAGGTATTTTCTTATCTTTAATTTTATGGACAAGTTTGTGTAGAAATGGTATTATTTCTTTCTTCGAATTTTATTTTATTTTTTAATAGAGCGGGTTCTATTAGTTACCTGTTTTATACATATTAGTGTGTATATGTCAATTCCAATCTCCCAATTCATCACACCCCCTCCCCCACACCGGCTTTCCCCCCTTGGTGTCCATACATTTGTTCTGTACATCTGTGTCTCTATTTCTGCCATGCAAACCAGTTCATCTGTACCATTTTGCTAGATTCCACATATATACGTTAATATACGATATTTGTTTTTCTTTTTCTGACTTACTTCACTCTGTATAAAAGTCTCTAGGTCCATCCACGTCTCTACAAATGACCAAATTTCGTTCCTTTTTATGGCTGATATTCCATTCTATATATGTACCACATTTTCTTTATCCATTTGTCTGTCAGTGGGCATTTAGGTACTTCCATGACCTGGCTATTGTAAATAGTGCTGCAGTGAACATTGGGGTGCATGTATCTTTTTGAGTTACGGTTTTCTCTGGGTATATGCCCAATAGTGGTATTGCTGGGTCATATGGTAATTCTATTTTTAGTTTTTTAAGGAACCTCCGTACTGTTCTCCATAGTGGCTGTATTGATTTACATTCCCACCAACAGTGCAAGAGGGTTCCCTTTTCTCCACACCCTCTCCAGCATTTGTTGTTTGTAGATTTTCTGATGATGCCCATTCTAACTGGTGTGAGGTGATACCTCATTGTAGTTTTGATTTGCATTTCTCTAATA